CTGTTGTTGCCACTCCTGTTGTTGTCTCAAAGCCTCTGCCATTTCCTGAAGTAGTCTTTCCATTCTGTCCAGTCTGGCAGTAGAGGATTCCTCTATCTCATCACCTCTGGTCCTCACCATCTGATTAAACTTGCATTATATTTTATACAAAAGGTACACAAGTATGCATATACTAAGAAGCACATATATTCAGATAATTTACAATGCAAGTAGTTCACAACTTACACATATAATTGTTCATATCAAAACATTTAAGCATATAATCAATGCTTTCGAATTCATATTTATCACATGAATGCATCCTAGATCTTATCTACACCCTTATTGCTCTTTTTGTACAAGTGTGTGAGTTATTAACTCGTGCTCTGATGCCACTCTGTCTTGACCCAAACCCGCCCCTATGGGTTAAGGACATAACCGGCCGGTAATCCTGAGATTACCTACGGCCTCAAACCAAAACAGACGTAACTCAACAAAGTAAAGGGGCCAAATGGAAGCAATAATTAAAAACTTTGTCTATAGAGCAGTGCTTATATGCACTTTAGAACAAACCATACACATATACGTTAATAACCCATAACAAAATACAGTACCATAAAATCCTTTACGGACAGGATCATCCAAACTTAGTCAACCCATAACAAAACTATATACAGATATACACAAGGTCCTTGCTAACAAGACAAAATATAAATACATAACAAAATGGCAAGGATAGGTCTCGTGCGTGAGACACAAGGCTAACTCTCCAAAAGTCATGTTGTTCCTGGCAGAGTTCACTAGGGCTGGGTTTGGACTTCTCTTGGCTCACCTACAAACACATGAACGAGCGTGAGCGATAGCCCAGTGAATAATATCAAATCAAATACAAAAGTTACATAACAACGTAGAATAACATGTTCCAGACGGCCTTGGGCCCAATTTCATATTTCTATTTAACAGATATATAATTACACGAAATTCAAATCAAGTGACTATAGTTCCAGACATTCTGGCCTTTGGCCCATTCAGATTTTCATTTGTGTGAAAACGGCCTTCGGCCCGTTTATTCATGTCAAAACGACCTTAGGTCCATTCATATATGTCAAAACGACCTTCGGTCCACTCATTTCTATCAAAACGACCTTCGGTTCATTCATTTCTGTCAAAATGGCCTTCGGCCCATTCATTCATGTCAAAACGGCCTTCGGCCCATACATTCGTGTCAAAACAGCCTTCGACCCACTCATTCATGTCAAAATGACCTTAGGTCCATTCATATATGTCAAAACGACCTTCGGTCCATTCGTTTACGTCAAAACGGCCTTCTGCCTATACGTTCATGTCAAACTTTTGTCCACAATCCCAATTAGCAACCCATAAAGCTTACAAGGGAATAAACAGTTGGACATTGCTAAGCTTTTAAATATCGATATTACTCACAGTGATCGGCCTGTGGATTTGCCCTGGTGCTTGACCCTACACATTTCATGACCACAAAAGGGTCACTAACAGTTCAATCCGTCCTTTAATTCACATATTCCTCTTTAGGCTTTATTCTTATCTCGTTAACTCATTTACAATGCTCAATTCATGCCTAAGAGTGCTTATAAGTGAAAGAGAACGGAAAACAGAATACAGAATGCAATTTCAGAATTTCAGAAAATAAGGTCCCCGCTCGAGCGTGGACTTCCCCGCTCGAGCGGACCCTTAAGGCCTGTAAAAATACTGGTTACATCAAAACCACGCTCGAACGTGAACTCTGCCGCTCGAGCGGATGGCCTGTCTACATAGCTCCCCGCTCGAGCGTCAACGTACCCGCTCGAGCGGGCACCATGTCTGCAAAAAGTGCTGGGAGCACAATTTTTCCGCTCGAGCGACACTTCACCCCCTGAGCGAACATAAAAAATCTGGGTTTTCCAGATTGAGTTCTTGAGCTCCAATTCGATTTTCAACCAACAAATCATGCATGTTATGGTTCAATTCTCAAATATAAGTGTACTAATATGATGTAAACCCCAAATCTCAACCCAATGGAGCTCAATTCACAATTAATTCGCATGCATGCCCCAATCTCCCATCGAACTCATTCTAACATAACAAATTCATACATTCAAGCTCATATCTTCATAAATTGTACATGCATGTGATGAATTAGCCACATTCTCAACTTAGACAACACAAAGGGTGATCAAAACATGAGTTTCAACCAAAACTCTACTTGAATCATGTATTTCAAGCTTATACATGCTATTTCAACACAATTTCTTACATGCATGCATATGTCAAGCTTTAATTCAACAAAACCAACCCAATTTCATTTCAATCTTACTCTTGATCACCCAATTAGCTTGAACACACAAAATTACAAACTATAATCCAAGAATTACTCACCTAGAAGCTTCGATTCTCACAATCTATAACAATTCTTGGGTTATCTTCAAGGTTCCCAAGCTTTAAGCTACAATTTGCACAATTCTCTCCTCTCTCCCTCTCTACGGCCGACTCTCCTCTAATTTGAGTCCCAAATCAGTCAAATGAAGCAAGAAGGGAGAATAGAGGGTGTAGTGCCCTTACCTAACAAAACCCACTATTAGCATTATAATAACAATAAGGTAATGGGGCACTAATTAATCATTTTGAATCTTATTATTTTGATCCGAATCAATTTCCAATTAAATTTCACCGTGGGTTTCAAAAATTATGCCAATCACAATGGCGTAATCGATTTCGGGTTCTGTGACCGATAAGGCCTCCAATTTAATTTTCAAAGCAGATTATTCAAACAGATATTCCTACGGTGAATAGATAGAATTTCAAAATCACATATATTCACAAAATGGCACATAAAATCATGCTAAACACATAATCATACTCAAATTAAGGACCAATTAGCATACTACGGAATAGGGATATCACAACTTTCTAAGGTGCCAAACAGATAATAAATTGTATGAACAGAACGCATATTTGATACACAATTTTAACTAATCATGATAGGGACATTGTTAGCCAGTGCATTTTTTTTGATCAATCAGTAAAGGATTATTAACAATCATAATAAATGAGAGTTAGTATAAAACTCTCATTACCATTATCAAACGTATGATTTGGTTATTCTTATAGAAATATTATATGATTAAAATTTTGTGGGTCTATCTATTTATCTTTTATTTTTTATTTTTAAACAAGCGACATTCCTTCATAAACATGATACTCCTATGAGGGATGTGGAAATTAGTTCGACAATTTATTATGTCTTCTGAGAGGGTGATTTATGCTCCGGCGTTGGGCCTTATAGAAATATTATATGATTAAAATTTTGTGGGTCTATCTATTTATCTTTTATTTTTTATTTTTAAACAAGCGACATTCCTTCATAAACATGATACTCCTATGAGGGATGTGGAAATTAGTTCGACAATTTATTATGTCTTCTAAATCGAATTAAGAATCACATTTTTAATATTTGATGCACTCATACAACGGAATGAAAGAGAGTAGGATTGAAATTCTCATTCTTCCCCTCAATTCTTGCTATCCAAACATAGTATAATGATTTTGAGATGCTAGCTATATTTTTCTTTATTTAATTACACTTTTGTAAAACGACAACAGTAATCATAAACATAGTCTAGGTTTTTATTTTTTTATTGATTTTTTTCCAGAATAATAAATATTCCGGGAAATTCTTTATTTGATATGATTTTGAGATGCTAACTATCTTAGTTTTTTCTTTGTTTTACTGTATGTAGAGAAGAGTTAATCTTAGATTCTTCCAATTTGAATGGACTTTCAAATGTATCTAAGCTTGGAAAAAGGCGAAGAACTCGCATCTTTTTTTTATCCGGCAAGTGAAATTTGATCTATTCACTGAACCCATACAAATGAGCGAATCCAAAAGTAAAACACTAGAAAACAGAACAATCATCCATTAGCCTTAAGTCTCCTCCGACTAATGATTTTCAAATAAAACTGTATAAACAAAATGTCAATAGAATAATATGACACAATCATTTTTAAAATAAAATAAAAAAAGAAATTCATACACAATTTATTATCAGAATAATATAGTAGTGATATTTTAATAATTCAATGTCATTTAAATTGGCATTTTGTTTTAAAATAATGAAAAATGATTTTCAAACATAATTTTTGTGAAAAAAAGAAAGAAAATACCTCTACTGGAATAATGTGTGAATGACAATTTTGAAATAATAAGACACTTTTATGAGTTATTTGATTTGAAATGAATGAATATAAATTTGGCACATCATTTTATATATATTTTATGTATAACTTTTTTGTGTGTGTATCAATATTCTTAAATAATAAATCTCAAAGAAATCACATTATTTTGTATATAAATTTTGTAAATATATTTTTTTTTTTGTTTATGGCACTACTTCTCTTAATATCAAAATTAGGCTCAAGAATTTTTGAAGTTTTAGGCTAAACGTTAAAATGAGATTTTATTCTATTGTGCTTATTAAAATTTGGAGCTTTTCATAATAAGAATATTTTAAAATTTCTTTGATAAACCCTAGGCGACGGACTAAATGACTTAATGATTGAGTCATTTTTTATCAAAATTGTGATTAAATAATAAAAAAAAGAAGAAGCATTTTCCATCTCTTCCAACCTCCTTATATATGCACAAACAAATGGGATAAGCCTTTCATTTCAACTACAACCATGTTAATACTTCTACTCCTCCTCTTCACCTTCCTCAGCCCTAGTTTCACCTCTGTCGACTCCTTCAACTTCTCATTCCCTTCCTTCGACCTGAGAGCTGCACCAATGGCGCCAATTTGATTTGCAGTGACTCTGCCACTGCAAGCAACGGCACTTTGGACGTGACGTCGGATCACCAACAACAACAACCGAGAGATCCACCGCCGATAAACCAGATTGTACTGGTGTTGTATAAATATCCAGTGATCGGATGGCCGGCGTATATATGCACCACTTTCAGTATTAGGATATTGACTGACCCCAACTCTGAAGGAGCTGGTGATGGAATGTCGTTTGTTCTGGCTCAGGATGCTGCACCCTCTCCTCCCAACAGCTTTGGCTCTTTTCTTGGTATCTTTGATCAGTCTACTCAAGGTCTATGTTCTCTTCCCTATCTTTTTTTTTTTCTTTTTTTAGGAAAAGTTTACCAATATTTTAGAAATTTTGTGAAGAAAATTTTTAGGCGATATGTGTTAAGATTTAATTAATGTATTGTGTAGTTTATATTGACTGACCCCAACTCTGAAGGAGCTGGTGATGGAATGTCGTTTGTTCTGGCTCAGGATGCTGCACCCTCTCCTCCCAACAGCTTTGGCTCTTTTCTTGGTATCTTTGATCAGTCTACTCAAGGTCTATGTTCTCTTCCCTATCTTTTTTTTTTTTTCTTTTTTTAGGAAAAGTTTACCAATATTTTAGAAATTTTGTGAAGAAAATTTTTAGGCGATATGTGTTAAGATTTAATAGTGAGGTATTAATAATCCTATCAAATTAGTGTGGTATTAACTATCCCACCCCTACCCCATTACTAATTATCCTACAAATTTGTTGGATTAATTATCCATTGGATCAATAGTCCTAAACCAAATGTCAAAACAAACATAGGATGGTTGGGCCCACGGATTAATAATCCTAATCCCATACTTTAATCCTTCCAATCAAACATGCCCTTAATGTATTGTGTAGTTTATGTATAAAATGAATTATAGAGTGATGCATAGATAAAATCCTAAATAAAAATTGAGTACATATTATTTTAAGGAACTTTTGCAACTATTGTTTCTTTCATTGCTTCTTTCACTTTCCTCACTTTTATATGTCTTAGGAAATAACGAACACTAATCTATAAACTTAGAAATTTTATTCGAATTTTACAAAACATCGATCTATGGTGTTTTTTAAGTTTGTTGCAGGGGTTTTGCTTTGGTTGATTTGCTACTTTGCCCCTTGTTTTTTGGTTGGTTTCTCACTAATGTTTGATAATGCGTTAGCGAGTAATTGGGCATGCATCTCAGTGCCAACTTAATGGGGATTGGTTTATTTCGTTATGATACTCTCTGCACTAATCATTTTTCTTTATTGATGTAATATTTTTGATTTTCTTCAAAAATGTTATTTCTTTTGCCTATTAAAAAAAAAAAAATTCCATTTCTAGTTCAAATTGATTTATATGATTAAATCTCTACCCTACAATCCATTACCCAAAAAATTATAGGTCGCACCATAATATTTCTGAATAACAAATGCAACTAAGATGTGGAACCATAAATTGTGACCCCTTTTTTTCAAATTTTTCTTACAAAAATTTCCTTTTAATCAAATGCTTACAATTATATATATATATATATTTCTTTACTTCACTCTCTTTTAATTTCACTTTTCACAATTTTTTGAAGTTTAAAAACGACAAAAACAAAAACAAAAAACAAAAACAAAAACAAAAAATAAAAAACAAAAACAAAACAAAATAAAAAAACAAACAAACAGAGTCTAAAAGGCTGATCTTAGAGTAATTGATGTGTAATATCATTATTACAGATGTAGTTCATCAACTTGCAATAGAGTTCGACACGTACAAGAATGAATTCGACCTGGATGATAACCACATCGCAATTGACACCGTAAGCGTAGAAAAGCCGGTTGCGGTGAAGAGCCTCAACAGCACCGGAATAAATCTCAAGAGCGGTAGAGAAATAACAGTTCGGGTTGAATATGATGGGTGGACCAAGAATCATCAGATTTATGTCGGGTATAATGGGGATCCACTAGTGAGCTTTCTCAATCATACAATGAAGTTGCAGCATACAGTTCCTAGCTCTGTTTCTGCGGGCTTCACAGCCGGCACAGGTACCCAGTTATTAATAATTATTTTTTTAAAGTACAATTTATTTATACTTTCCCCAATATTATATATACTGATCTCAAATTAAACAATTACTCTCCCTTTAATCTAATGAATTTACCTAATTATTCTTATTTTTCCAATAATATATACATTATTCAAAAATAAAAATATGAGTGTTTAGATGCAAATCATTATTTGAACATAAACATAATAAAGCATAAACTAAATATTTTAGTCTAATAGACTGCATGATTATTTCTTTATTCGTTTAACGAACAAATGACTAACAGTATTGGTCAAAGTGTTAAGCCAAAACTGTAACTGTAATTTCTTTATTACACGAGGGAGATTAGTCTAATTCCGATTTAGCACCAAATTTTCAATTAAATTTGATGTCATATTTTGGAAATAAAAATTAACCCGGCTGGCTTCGGTCTCTACACAGGTACTCTATCTGAAACCCATCAAGTTCTAGCTTGGAACTTCACATCCATTGAATTGCCAAACAAATCTCTGGGGACAGAAAACAACCTGGTAGTAAAAATCGCTGTTGCAGTGATTTATGGGCTGTTGTTTCTTGCAATATTGGCTTTACCATTTGTGCTTAGAGCTCTTAGAATACGAAAAGAGATGCTTGCAAGGAAAGTAGACATTGAAGTGATGATAGCAGCAGCAAATGGACCACAACTCTTCTCTTACAAGAAACTTTCAAAGGCGACTCGCAACTTCAGCAAAGACAACCTATTGGGAACTGGCGGTTTTGGCAGTGTTTACAAAGGGGTTATGTCGAAACCTCCCACCACTATTGCTGTCAAAAAAATCAATGCCACATCCAAACAAGGTTTGCTTTCTTTTCATTTCCCGATTATTAATACTGGCAGCACTGCATTCATTCTAATTGCACTCATACTCCACTAGGATTAATGCAGTGCTACCACTACCAAGTATTGCCAGCACTTATCCTAAAAATATACCCCCCCTTTTTTTTTACCTGATGAAAGTTTATGTATTCTATAACCTACGCTCTTTTTTTTTTTTTTTTTTTGGTTTTAGGACTTGGATTGTTGTTGTTAATAATTGATTTATAATTAATGTTTTATTTTATTGATATTAATTTGAAATAAAATTATGTATAGCATTGCTCTTTTGAAAATTGTCATCATGAGTTCACGTATCAAAATCATTTTTCTGTCTAATCTAGGTGAGAAGGAATACTTGGCAGAAATCTGTACTATTAGCTGCCTAAGGCACAAAAACTTACTACAACTTCAAGGTTGGTGCCATGACCATGACCAACTCCTACTAGTTTACGAATATATGCCTAATGGCAGCCTTGACCACTTCGTCGATGAGGACAACACATTTCTTGATTGGGCAACTAGGTACAAGGTATTACTGGGATTAGCATCAGCATTAGTTTATCTACATGAAGAGTGTGGCAACCCTGTTGTACACAGAGATGTGAAGCCAAACAATGTCATGTTGGATTCAGAGTACAATGCACATCTAGGCGACTTTGGCCTTTCTAGGCTACTTCAAAATGAAGCCTCAGTCACAACCAGGATAATAGGGACACCAGGTGTAGACACCCCATTTTTGACCGTCCTCAAGACTTGGACGTCATCGTTTTGAACACTCGATGATCATCCATGTTCGTGTTCGTTTTGAGTTCTCGGAGGTCTCGGTCGCGCGCTGTGGAGATGTGGTTTGAAAATACTCTTCAGATCCTGGGAGACGCTAGTGATCCTCAGCTAGTCACCTAAAAAGATACAAACACTCCAGTCGAGGGTGCCGGAATTAGCACTCCGACGGACAAGTCAGTTCAGACACTCAAGATAGCTTGTTTACTAAGTTAAGTGAAGTGATTCTTACATACCTTTCTAAATCCGTGGTTCTTGTATTTATACTTGGTTCTCCCTTGATTCTCGGGACTAGGGCCTACTTTTCAATCATTGCCCTTTCTCTTATTCGGCTCTAAGGATCTATACCTATTCGGCTCGTATATTATATTTGACTTCCCACTCATAAGATGCTACTGATTAATATCAGTCTTCTAAGACGCACCTTCTGATTTAGCCAATTAATTCGGCACCCACAATTGCCCCCCGAACTCCCCATTAGCGATAGTTAATCGGCGTGTTTGGTTTTGAAATGGAAAAGTTAAAATAGGCCAGGCGGCCTCGCGTACCCCAATACAGATGTAAGAATACGCACACTTTTTTGGTCATCATTACACTTTCCCGCCTCATTCGTGCGTCTCACATTTATTACGATTTGAAATTTCAGTCCTTTCGAATGCACATTTCGTTGAGTATTCGAGACTCTTGGACCGTCAACGGGTGTCCCTTCTCTGATTCGCATTGTGCAATTCTTCTTCGTCTATCTCTGCTCCTTTTAATCTTCGTAAGTCTTCTTCTCCTTTCTTTACAATCCTATTTTCTATTTGTCATTTTGATTTCGGCGAAACCTTGAATCCCTGCAAAAATGGCCAAACACTTGAAAGACCTCCTTTCTGAGGGTCGTATTTCAGGATTCCGGTGACATTTTTCCATTCCCGATGATGTCCACTTGTCTCTTGTGACGGACAGTACTCTTGATACGGAGAGGGAGGATCAAAATACGATCGTCTTCCCTCTCTTATCTATAGCGGAGAGCGGAGTCCGCTTTCCCCTTCATCCACTGCTTAGGGCCATCCTTCGCTATTGGAGTCTGATTCCTTCTCAGCCCAACGTAAATTTCTTTCGAATCATCCTGGGAGTGATAGAGTTGAACCGACATCTTAGGATCAACCTTGGCATTCCGGCAATTCGGCACTGCTACGCTTTGGCCAAATCTTCCAGTCGGCTGGGGCGATACTTTCTCAGGGCCAAGGACACTGACCATCACTTGATAACCATGCTTGCCAGTTCTGGTAAGAGGGTTGACGATGTAATGGTCAATGTCCGAGGTAATTGGGAGTTCGGGGAAGGCGAAGACCGCCTAGATCCTATTCCCAAACGGAAGGGTGATCCAAGTTGCCGTGTAACGCCTTGTGTTTGTTGGCTTGCCTTTTATTCGGCTTTTTTCCTTTAATCATCCCTTGTTCTTTGCAGGTAACAGTTTGAAGAAGATTCTTCCATCAACTGACGACGCAGTCCTTGAGGAGATCAAGTCTGCACTCAGATACTTCGGTCGTCCAAACGTACAAAAGCAAGGAAGAGCTGCTTACATACTTCTCCGGTATGAACCTACTTATACTACATTCTCGGCTGTGAAAGGCATTCCAATTCCAGCCGCGCGATCAACACCTTTCGGCTCTGCTCTTTCCCAGCTTCAAGAGTTTTAGGCAAATTTACCTTGAAGACTCGGATTCGGGGGCAGACGCGGAACCGGTGGTAGAGGTGGTGGCCGAACCAACCAGGGAGGTCGCTGAGGAGGCCGAAGAGGTTGACAACGCGATACGCTCGGCGTTCGAGGCTGCCCGAGGGCATTCCAATTCCAACCGGCGATCAACACCTTTCGGCTCTGCTCTTTCCCAGCTTCAAGAGTTTTAGGCAAATTTACCTTGAAGACTCGGATTCGGGGGCAGACGCGGAACCGGTGGTAGAGGTGGTGGCCGAACCAACCAGGGAGGTCACTGAGGAGGCCGAAGAGGTTGACGACGCGATACGCTCGGCGTTCGAGGCTGCCCGACTTAACCAGCCCTCACCATCCACTTTAGGTCGGGCAGAGTTTTCTTCCGGAGATATTTTTGCAAATTTGGAAGAACTATTTTTTCGAAGGTATGGCTGTGGAAAACCTTACGCAGATGGCGTGAAGGAAGAATGTCGAGCGAATGGCTGCTCGAAAGAAGGCCGAGGCCGCCCACTCTGAGCCCACCTTGACTAAAGCTTTCGTACCCGTTATTGAAGAGACGATTCAGGTTGCTGCGGCTGAAAAGGGAGAAGGGGTTGAACAACAAGTCATTGGAGAATGGCTGATTCCGGAGGAGCGCGGCGAAAAGCATAGTGCCGAAGGGGAGGCTGGGTCGAAAATTAGCCTTGCTGCCAAACGGCCTCGTTTAGAAGAGCCGGACGTGGTTACGCCTTTTATTGTTTGGCCAAAGATCAAAGATACGCCAATCTCTTCTAACGCTTCAGCCATTGAGGATCTAGCCGTGGCGTTGAGCCTGGCGGCTTCAATTTCCTTGCCGACTGACAACGCAGCCTTTCGCGCTGTGCCGGATGTTGTGGCTGTAGCCCTATCAGCCCAGTCGGCGCTTCTGGTAAGTGCACCTCAGATTCTCTTGAAATTTTTTTCATTAAGGTATCTGACAACCTTAACTTGTTTTGCAGACTGTTGGCAGGATCGCGAACCTAGGTCGTCGCCTGCATGATGCCCTTGGCAGGATTGAGCGTTTGCAAGGGGAGGTGGACGGTCAAAAGAGTAGAGCCGAGTTTGAAGTTGTGAGAGCCGAGGTGGAGAGTGCGCGAGCTGAAGCAGAAAAGGAAAGGGCTCGCTCAGCTGAACAGTTCCATTCTGAGGCTGAGAGTAGGGCAAATGCGAGCAAAGAATCGCTCAAGTTAGCCAAGGAGGCGCTTGCTGAGGTGGAGGTTCAATTAGCGGAGCTCAAGGTGGCCAAGGAAAAAGCTGATTCTGAGGCTTCTAGGGCATTTGATGCAGGAAAAAGCACCGCCTTCGCGGAATATGTAGATGAAGTCCCCAAATTCGAGAATCGGGGGTTCAAACATGGATGGCTCAAAGCCCTTGCTGCCGCTGGAGTTACATTGGCCTTGCCAATTCCTTACGAGCAAGTGAATGTTGAGCCACTTGAATCTGACCCCGAGGATTGATCTGGGAGTCATTTCGATTATATTAAGTAGTTTTGATTTTGATGTAAGCTTTTGCTCGGTAGACTTTTGTTGGCTCAGGGTAGTTTTCATGTATAAATTGGTTACTATTTGCGCTCAATTTAGTAATGAAAATTACCTTGGTATTTCACCAACATTTGTACATAGTTTGTGAAGTTATGTTAATGAAGAATGTTTTTCCTTTTACTAATTTGGATAAAATCACTTAATATGAGTTTTGAAGAATAGATTCATGAGCCGGCTGGGGTACTTAAGCCGGATAGATTAATAAATCAGCCTTTGCCCCAGGCAGTGCATGATCAATCGGGGACCAGGTGAAACGACCTCAAGAGTTTTGAAGAATAAGTTCATGGGTCGGCTGGGGCACTTAAGCCGAATATTGATAAATCTATCTGCCCTTGCCCCAGGCGGTACATGACCATTCGGGTGCCGGGTGAGACGAACTTCGGAGTTTTGAAGTTGATTCGTGGGCTGGTTGGGGCACTTAAGCCAAATATTGAAAAATCTATCTGCCCTTGCCCCAGGCGGTGCACGACCATTCGGGCGCCGGGTGAGATGAACTTCGAAGTTTTGAAGTTGATTCGTGGGCCGGCTGGGGCACTTAAGCCGAATATTAACAAATCTATCTGCCTTTGCCCCAAGCGGTGCACGACCATTCGGGCGTTGGGTGAGACGAACTTCGGAGTTTTGAATTTGATTCGTGGGCCGGTTGGGGCACTTAAGCCGAATATTGACAAATCTATCTGCCCTTGCCCCAGGCGGTGCATGACCATTCGGGCGCCGGGTGAGACTAACTTCGGAGTTTTGAAGTTGATTCGTGGGCCGGCTGGGGTGCTTAAATCGAATATTGGTAAATAAGCCGCATATTGACAAATCTATCTACCCTTGCTGCAGTCGGTGCAGGACCATTCGGGTGCCGGGTGAGACGAACTTCGGAGTTTTGAAGTGGATTCGTGGTCCGGCTGGGACACTTAGGCCGAATATTGACAAATCTATCTGCCCTTGCCCCAGGCAATGCACGACCATTCGGGCACCGGATGAGACGAACTTCGGAGTTTTGAAGTGGATTCGTGGGCCGGCTGGGGCACTTAAGCCGAATATTGATAAATCTATCTGCCCTTGCCCTAGGCGGTGCACGACCACTCGAGCGCCGGGTGAGACGAACATCGGGGTTTTGAAGTCGATTCGTGGGCCGGCTGGGGCACTTAAGCCGAATATTGATAAATCTATCTACCCTTGCCCCAGGCGGTGTAGGACCATTGGGCGCCGGGTGAGACGAACTTCGGAGTTTTGAAGTGGATTCGTGGGCTGGCTAGGGCACTTAAGCCGAATATTGACAAATCTATCTGCTCTTGCCCCAGGCGGTGCTAGACCATTCGGGCGTCGAGTGAGATGAACTTCAGAGTTTTGAAGTGGATTCGTGGGCCAGCTGGGGCACTTAAACCGAATATTGATAAATCTATCTGCCCTTGCCTCAGGCAGTGCACCACCATTCGGGCGCCGGGTGAGACGAACTTCAGGGTTTTGAAGTCGATTTGTGGGTCGGCTGGAGCACTTAAGCCAAATATTGATAAATCTATCTGCCCTTGCCCCAGGCGGTGCATGACCATTTCGGCGGCGGTCGATTAAGGTTTTCTCAATTAATGAGATTGCCTCGAGGGTGCTGCCTCTGTAAAGAATAAATGATTAAGGGTACAACTTTTATGAGTACAACAAACAACTGATTCCAGCTTTTGAAGGTATCGTGCGAATGTCGAACAGACTCTTCTTCAGCAACAGAGGGGAAGCGAGGACGCTAGCTGAGCTAGGTGAAGACATGAATCGAGGGAGTGATCCTCCGCGCATAGGGAGTAGGAGTTTCGGGGGTCGAGAGAGGCGTCAGTCTCCTCGACGTCAAAGTAGGTCGCCCAGGCGGGAAAAGCAGTCGCAGGGCAGATCTTCGCAACCTCGAGTCGAGAGGGGATCTAACGCGAATCCATGCCCACTAAGCTTCGCGGTATTCGTGGGGAATAGACCCATGACAGAAGCAGACTCGGTCATTCACGACCCAAATGTAGTGGTCGAGTTTGCTTGACAAATTTTTCCTCCTGAGGTTCAGCAATTGATGGTAGGTCGACAGGACTACGAAGTATTTCGAGAAGGCATTCACGGACAGTGAAAGGGCTCTACATTGCCTATGAAATTGGCATGCGACTGCGTGCTGCCCGCCGAGAAATGGAGAAGAAGGAGGAACGTATCTGAAGTTTGGAGGCTCGCGCAGAGGCGGCTGAGCGTGAGTTAAGGAAGGTCAAGGCGGCTCAGGCACAGCCCGTCGGTCAGGGAAACCCAATCGTCGAAGAAAGGGTTACTAGTCGGCTCATCAGTGCCGCGCTCGCCGATCGTGAGACGGCTAGTATGTTCGCAATGGAGAACGCGAAGGGTAGGGCCTATGAAAAAGGTTTTCACAATGGCCGAAAAGTTGGAATCGAAAAGACCAAGGAGAAACTTGCTGAAGAAGTTTGTCGGTGTGAAAATTGTGGGTTTAGGCATGGTTGGATCAAGGTATCTCAAGCCGCGGAAGCTCTTCGAGCGACGGGGATTGATTCGGCGTCACCACTTTACTACCGTAAACATTTTCCGTTTTCCGCTTTTGAAGTCGAGAAGAGTGAGGACGAGGGTGACGCTGTATAAGTGTACTTATTGTGAGGTTGAAACGCAGATCACTTTGCAAAACTATGTAATTTATTGTTTGTTTGAATAAAAACGTTCTGTTGTAAATGTTTCGTTGCAGTTCGTATTCGGTATGTATATGTTTCGTTTTATTATATACATGCTTGAATGAATGTATAAACGTTGATCGGCACGAGAATCTGTTAAGTGTCGAGCGGTAGCTGTTTATTCCTGTATGAGGCCATTTAGAGTGGCTACGGCAAATTCGACTCGGCTCGGGGCCTAGATTTTTGACCAGTGCATGTGCATCAAAAAGTCGTTTGGATAACTAGGCCGTGAGGGATGTCAACCGACGTTTGTCTCATGGAATTTAGCGTTAATGAAAGCGCCTCGGGATCGGGGCCTCGAGATCGCTGCCAGTATTGAGAATAAAAGGAGTGGGCGCTTCGCGCAGATAAACAGTAACTTATTATGTGATGTGAGATAAATGGGTATGTTAGTTAGAGAGGCTCAGACTTCAGCCGAGCTTGGTGTTGCAGTGGGGCGCGGAAGAGAACGCATCCGTATGGGAGGCAGGGCGTCCAAAAGTTGGTATGAGTCTCCAAGTCGTCGAAGCAGATCACCCCGAAAGGAAAGGCAACGACCGTTGGGTTTACCCTTCCTTGTCCTGGATCTGTGCCTTGACATTGTCAATGGTATCAGGGAGGGTTTCCTTGTCCTGGATCTTTGCCTTGACATTGTCAATGGTATCAGGGGAAATTTGGCAAAGCGCAAGTTATGGGCTTGGACATAGTTGGATCAAGGCATTGCAAACCGTGAAGGACTACCGGGTGACGGGAGTTAATTC